AAAGGACCATCTTTGTGACAGTTTGCTAGCCAGTAGGTCCACTCAAATAGTGAGATATGATCTTTTAGCAGGGCCTCTGTCCAAGTCCCTCTCAGTCACCATACCATCTCCTTCTATAAGACCACTGCTCTCTCCAGACTCTGTGTGTGGCTGCCTGTTACTGGGTCAATAAACCACCAAGATGGTTAACAGAAAAGTATCTGTATCCATGATTGGTCCATACACCTCGGTGGCCCGCCATTCGTCACTGAGGATGGTGATTCTTGGACGCACATGGCACAAAATGAGTGAACTTTGAACTTCTGTTGAAGCGACTCTCTCTGGTTAGAGATTTTATTTTCAGGTGAACCTTCAGCATCAACAAGTTTCTCAACAAATATTTCAATGGTTTGATGAAAATATTAAGTATTTAGTTTGATCTATTTAGATTACCTGACTGAAAAACACTTAAAGAAATAGTTAAATGAAGTACATTTTTTGAGACTTAACTTTGATAACTTTATTCTCAGTCAACTGTTTTAAAGCATTAGAATAAATTTGAGCAGAATTTAGAAATAATTTGAGAAATATAAAGTCATCATAAATAAAAGAGACAGGTCCACTCACTGTTCAGCTGCCAATGAGCAACAGTATTAAGGGCAAGGATCCAAACGCTGCCCTTAATAAAGTTACTCATTGGGAGCTGAACAATGTGCAGACCTCTCTCTCTGTTTTCTACAGGTCATCATTTTTTTGTCCTGCACCTGTATGCATTTTGCTTGGATGTGTGCACACTCAGTTGTTTCTTCTAAATATGAAGTCATCACTAAAGACCTGAAGAGTCAAGAAGTATTTAACAACTTAACGCTTCAAATGCTTCAGATGTGGAGCAGGATTTAACCGAGGCTTCATAGGAATGAGGAAACAAAGTTAAAGATTCACAGTGCTGCTCCTCTTCCTGGTTCAAAGAGCTTGATAACCCCTCCCTCTCCTGCCTGCTCTCAAACACAGCCAGCTCCACTCTGACTCAGTATTTCCTGGTTCCCTCCCCTTTAGATCTACAGTTTGCAGATGGGTGTAACCAACACGAGCTGACATGCACTAACACATTATATGTAGATCAGTGGTGAATGTAGTAGGAAGTGAAACTCAGACAGTTGTTGTCACTGAGAGGAGAAATGGCGCAGAAAGGAGTTCAGCTGGACCGGGAAACCTTCTCTTGTTCGATCTGTCTGGATCTACTGAAGGATCCGATGACTATTCCCTGTGGACATAGCTGCTGTATGAACTGTATTAAAACCCACTGGGATAAAGAGGAGGAGAAGAAAATCTACAGCTGCCCTCAGTGTAGGCAGACCTTCCCAGCGAGGCCTGTCCTGGTGAAAAACACCATGTTAGCAGTTTTAGTGGAGAAGCTGAAGAAGACTGGACTCCAAGCTGCTCCTGCTGATCACTGCTATGCTGGACCTGAAGATGTGGCCTGTGATGTCTGCACCGAGAGAAAACTGAAAGCTCAAAAGTTCTGTCTGCAATGTCTGGCTTATTTCTGTGAGAAACACCTGCAGCCTCATTACAAATCACCTACATTTGAAAAACACAAGCTGGTGGAGCCCTCCAAGAAGTTCCAGGAGAACTTTTGCTCTCATCATGATGATGTGATGAAGAGTTTCTGTCGTACTGATCAGCAGTCTATCTGTTATCTCTGCTCTGTGGATGAACATAAAGGCCACGACACAGTCCCAGCTGTAGCAGCGAGGATCGAGAAGCAGAGAGAGCTGGAGGTGAGTCGACAAAACATCCAGCAGAGAATCCAGGACAGAGAGAAAGATGTGAAGCTGCTTCAACAGGAGGTGGAGGATATCAATGGCTCCGCTGATAAAGCAGTGGAGGGCAGTGAGAAGATCTTCACAGAGATGATCCGTCTCATGGAGAAAAGACGCTCTGATGTGAAGCAGCAGGTCAGATCCCAGCAGCAAACTGAAGTGAGTCGAGTCAGAGAGCTTCAGGAGAAGCTGGAGCAGGAGATCACTGAGCTGAAGAGGAGAGACGCTGAACTGGAGAAGCTCTCACACACACAGGACCACAACCAGTTTCTACACGACTACCCCTCACTGTCACCACTCTGTGAATCTACACACTCATCCAGCATCAATATCCGTCCTCTGAGGTACTTTGAGGATGTGACAGCAGCTGTGTCAGAAGTCAGAGATAAACTAGAGGACGTCCTGAGAGAGAAATGGACAAACATCTCACAGAGAGTGACTGAAGTGGATGTTTTACTGTCAGAGCCACAGCCCAAGACCAGAGCTGACTTCTTACAATATTCATGTGACATCACACTGGATCCAAACACAGCAAACACAGAGCTGTTATTATCTGATGGGAACAGAAAAGTAACAAACACGGGTCAACAACAGTCTTATTCTAGTCACCCACACAGATTCACTCATCGGTGTCAAATCCTGAGTCCAGAGAGTCTGACTGGACGTTGTTACTGGGAGGTGGAGTGGAGAGTAAGCGTTTGTGTAGCAGTTGCATACAAGAATATCAGCAGAGCAGGAATTGGGAATGAAAGTGGATTTGGATACAATGAGAAATCTTGGGCCTTAGATTGTGACAACAACAGTTATAACTTTTATAACAACAATGTCCTCACTCCTGTCTCAGGTCCTCAGTCCTCCAGAGTAGGAGTGTACCTGGATCACAGAGCAGGTATTCTGTCCTTCTACAGCATCTCTGAAACCATGACTCTCCTCCACAGAGTCCAGACCACATTCACTCAGCCTCTACATGCTGGACTTTGGACTGATTCTGGATGTAGTGCTGAGTTGTGTAAACTGAAATAGACAGAAGTCATTTAAAGGAACAGTGGGTTAAACTTTAATCCTTCAACTTGATCATTATTCATGTTTGTTGCTGAGAGCTGATTGTGGTTACATTGTTCACCTGTCAATCAAACTTTATGGGCGGTACTTTGACATCTTCTCACTTGTTCTGTAAATGTTTGAGTCTCTTTAAATAACTCTCTTTAGCTGTTTCTGTTTAGTCACAGAGGCTTTACTGCTCATGAGGATTTTTGTTCAGCTGAACTGACATTTTCTCTGCATGAACATTTCAACTTTTCTTCACTTTAAATGTGTTTACAATGAGTACTGATTGTTTTTGTTCTAATTAAAGGGTCTTAAGAGAGAAAGCACCAGGCCATTTCTTTCATGTAGATATTATGTTTTCATCACTTTGTACGTTGTATTTAGAAACATCTCAAATTAAATGTATAGAATGATTTCTTTTTGCAGAATGAATTTTGTTTTTTGAACTTAAATTGATTAAAAATGTACTCTGAAGTATGAAATCAATGAGATCATTATTAAAATTTGAGTCAGGGTCATTTTAGAGGATTAATTGACTTATTTATGTTCATTCAAAACAAAACAACTTTTTCTTTTTTGATTCATGGTGGAAATGGGACGCCAACCAGGGGCCTTCTGTTAGAGAAGCAGCAGCATTAACCATCGCTTTATAGTCATATTATTGAACATTATCTCAACTATATATTCATCATTACTTCACATGTGTTGAGATGACATCAACACAAATGATAAAGTTCTCACAACATTTAAACAAACCTTCAGTTTAAAGTGACAATAAAAACAAATCTTTATTTTTACAGAGTTACAATGAACCAATCAGAGACATCTCTTATTCTACCAAGCCTCTGATATTAATGACTTCTGAAGTGACTGAAAATAATTCACTGTTAGAATAAAACTATTTTCTATCACATATGATAAGATCACAAGAGGTCTAATGAGTGAAAAGAAGATATCACCCTGTTCAACTATTGATATGTTGAAATGAGCCTCAGTGACTCTACACTGCCACCTGCTGCTCAACAGAGACAAAACACAACATGTTACAAAACAGGAACCAGAATCTGATCTCAGCTCACATTTCAAAATATTCAACTACAACATATGCTTACTCTGTTATTTGTTATGAAAATGATGGAAAAGCAATTTCCATAAATGTCTGCATTTTAAGTTTTGTATACAGATAAACACATTTCAGGATTGATTTAATCCTGCTTTTAGGGTTTAAATGGAGAATCAGTAAGAAAAATAAGATCACCACTGAATCATAGGATTGTATGGATGAAGTTCTTCTGCTGACCTAGCTGCTTTGATTCAGAGGTTGAAGTCTGGGTGATCTGCAGGCAGCTTTATGACCTTTGACCTCTGCAGGTATGGCCTGAAGAATACATGAAAATGTTTCTCTCTGACTGCTTGTTGATGAGGATCAGATGGACTGATGTAGACCCTGTTGCTCAACAGTAACAGATATCATAGACAGTGATTCCTCTGTATGACTCAGCTCGAGGGTTTAGACACTTACCTGTTGTCTACAGTTTGAGAGGAAGCAGGCTGGAAACCAAAACTTAAAGGTATCGCTCCTACGAGTGAAGAACATGAACTGAGTCCAGAATCCTTAGTTCAGCACCGTCTATGAAAACAAACATCAAGCGTTAGTTATGTGTTTGTAGAGGTCTTTCTTTCAGGTAAAGTACAAACTGTACATACAAAACCTTTCACAATCAACAAAAATGTTGAAAGTTAGAAGCAGTCTGACATGCAGACATTTTCCAGCCTATTTGTTCACATTGATTTGGATATATTGTGTGCACTTTTATTTTTTGCTTTATTACAAAGGCCATCAAATGTCTCCTGAGGGAGAATGAACTCTTAATTCTATTCATTATAATGCCTCCTCATAAAAACATGAAATAACATCCTCTTAAATAACACAACTTGTTTTTAACTTAGGTCAAATAAAAACATACCGTATTCATTTTCATGTTATATTTTTACCCATGCATAACGCCACCTGCTGTCTCAGAGTAAGTAGTGAATGGTTCACATCATGGCAGCCCTCCCTTCTCCATTTGTGTATAGTTTGTCATTCCCTGTCTGTCTGATCCTCATGTTTCTCTCCCCTGTCTGTTGTTCTGTGTGAGTGTGGTGGGCGTGGCTTTCTCTTCACAGGCAGCTCCAGGTGAATCTCATTTCATGATCAGGACTCACTCCATAAAGACTTCTCTCTGCACTCTGCTAGACACCAGATTGTTTCATCAGCTCGTGTGGTATCGTACGATCTTGGCTCCTCTGTGATTATTGTTCCTCGTTGTTATAGCTTGTGTAGCTAACCCCCTTTTGTCTTCTCTGCCTTGCCTCAGATGGCCTTACTTGCATTGTGCTCCTGTGCTCTCTTCACTGCTTGCCTGCCGTTTGCTCTCCTGTGCACCTTTTGGACGACAAACTGGGATTCACAGAACACTGCCACAGTCACTCGTCTACTCACCTGCCACGTTGGATCCTGGGACACTGCACTAGCCCTCCCAGGACTGCCCCTGGTCAGGGTGAGGCCCTAAGCAAAATGTGTTAAGGAGGTCCCCCACGGGCCAACACACAGTTATTGGAGCACCTAAATAACAAGTCCATTACAAAATGTCTTTTTAACTTAACAACCTTTATTTGTAAGAACAAATTGTAACTTTGACAATGGTGGTAATGTGCAGGATGCTGCGTCTGTACAACTGCTGTGTGATGTGTCTATACTAGACCTGCTGGTTGCTGCCTCTGGGCCTGCTGATGAATCATCTGCATCTCCTCCACACATTTTAGCATTGACCCTGTTATGAGAAGAAATCTGAAATAAAACCATCTTAAAGCAGACTTCACTAAAGGAAATTATGAAAATACTATCTTCAAAAAGAGTGAAATGGATTTAATGCTACTACTTTTACTACTAATAACAATGTAGTAATAATAATTACTATAATTTATATAAAATAATACTATAACTTTAATGTTTATTATTATAGTCTTTATTAAACACAATGGGGGGGAAAAAAAGATTAAAAAACAAAACACCTCTAATAATAATGAAAACTACAATATCTATCATGTCTGTCTTCCAATCTTTATACGCACAAATAGAAAACATGCTAATTCATGTTTTTTTTTAATCTACATTTCTCTGCAAAATAACCTCATGAGCTGTGACGGTTACGTACTAAACACCCCAGTAGATGGCAACAATGTAGCTCCCAAAATTAACCAAAAACTTAAATTAATAGGCTGTAAAACATTTGTCAGCACAAACACCAGACAGTGGTTTTCCTCTTGTACAGGTGAGGTTTTTAAGCTGACAAAGCTTTCAACATCTATTCATAAGAGCAACCACGCCCCTGTTTGGGTGAAAACAAGCTCTGAGAATGTATCGGCGGTAGATTAGAAAACACTGGTCGCTGTGCGATTAAACACCATTGTGTAGCTTTTTGTACTTCAAACTATTTTAAAAACACAATTTAGTATCAGGTTTTCATCTACAAAGGACAAAGGAGGGTAAAAGAAGAGCTCTGTGTGTTTGGACTGAAACTAGAGAGGATTAAAGTGGTAAATCGTGGGGCAGCTGTTGTGTTCCTTTAAGGCAGCGATCGCTCCATGACAGAAGAGAAGTCTGTTAACAGGTTCTTCACACATTCACTAACGTATTAACAATGTTTCAACTGTATAACAAATATGTTGGTGAAAAATGTCTCATAACTAAGGAACACCACCAAATCTAATGTCAAAATAAAAAGTTCACTAACCTCCTCGTCTCACCCCACTCATCTTATTTACACTCACGTATGATACAAAAGGTTTTAATTTCATCCAGGTGACTTTACATGTTTATTCTTTTCTAAA